CTTAGATTATAGAAGAGGGATTGGAGATGAAATATTTTCTTGAAATCTAAAACCCTTTTTTTTCTAGGCAAAAGCTAAGATCTATTCCTCTCAGTGAAAAGTGAAAACAGAACATGTAAAAAAAATAATAATAAATGAATAGGACTGAAGGAGCAGTTCTAAAGAAGACAGCATGAGACGGGGAGCAGAGGTGGCAAAATTATGTGTTCTGAACAAAGAAAACCAAGCCACTGCCTCTATAAAAGTAGCAGGGAATATGTGGAGAATCCCAAACACGTTTAATATTCCTCGTGCAGGTGCTGTGCTTTCCGGCTAAGACCATGGTATATCCATGCTGCTAATGGCAGAAATGAAACAGATGCGGATCAGTGAACTTGAAAAGGCCAAAGAACTGTGAGACCAGGTTAGATATCACAACTGTTAAGGAGGCTATTGTAGGATGAAATCAAAAAGGAATATTATTAAGAAAGAAATTAGAGGATGTGAAAGTGTCCTTGGGAATGGTAAGTGACAACTGTAAAAGAGGGGACAAGAGTTGGTACAAATAGCAAATGGGGGATTCCCACAAAATTCATTTGCTAATTAGCATCAATTAAGTCAATTGGTCACAAAGAGATAAGCCTGCATAGATGTGCTCATTTGTATGAAGAATATCGTGAAGAATAATAGCTATCAAGGCCTCGTATAATGGGCTAGGTATATTCTTGGCAGAAGTTTTAGTTTTAAGGAAGCACTTTATTCATTTGTATAATATTTCTATTTGCTAAAAAAACGAAGAACAAGTGTCACTGTAGCTTTTTGAATGCATTAGGATATCAGAGAAATTGTGACTTGAAAATAAGGCCTGATCCCTCCACTGTGAGCTACGTTAAATAAGTAGAAGCAAGTGATCAAACAAGTTATAGCCTCTCTAAAAATGTAGTATTGCCTAAACAGGAAAGGTCTGTTTTCTGATGTTTATATACTTATATTATTTACTTTTTCATTTCAAAATTTATATCTCATTTGTCCACTAAAAGCCTGAAATATCCACCAGGGAAAATTGTACAGTAAGAAATCGAACAGAAGAACAACTGGGACATTGGAAAGAGTTTGGCTCTGAACTTCCTGGCAGCGAGGCATGGATGTAAATATATTAAGTTTCATAGTCCTGGTCATGAGAACAAGTGAAATGTTCCATTTCCTTTGGAGAAATAAATGTTTTTCTCGCATTAAATTCTAAAAGAAACTTCTGAAATTGGGTCTTCTATAGTGGACCTTTAATGGCCTAGTAAACAACGTCCTGGTAAAATTTTACCAAAAATTGAATGAGACTCATTTCTACAATCAAAAATATTCAATGACATAATAGGTAATAGGTCGTTGCCTAGTTAGGCAACTAACTAGGTAATTCTCCAAGAGGCTTTCATTATTAAATTCAAATATCAAGTGCTACCTGGTCTAACTTGGTACAGTGGGATATGAATTTGGTATACAGGAAGAATCAGTGGGCTACAAATCTCTTAGGCTACATCTCTCCTAAATATTTTCATTTGGGTTTTACAGAAATACACGTAAGCATATATACTATAATAGGAGAGTCTCTAATATTGCGAATTCTGGGAACAAAAAAAGAGACATCATCTCACATAAAGCAGATGATATTCAGTGTGAACCGACTCCAGTTTGTTCATAAAGCTTTTATGATCTTTTCTGTTACAGGTATTATTGAACTTAAGATCAGGACACCTTGATGAAATGTACTTATTTTCTGGAACAATCAACACATATTCTTCAAGAGAAATAGCTGAACTTGGCCATCAAATCTGCACAACAGATCCAATAGCAATTTGACAGATTTGTCTAAAGGTTAATTTCATGGCTGCTTAACTCACTGGGTTTTTAAATTCCAATGAAATCTAATGAAATCCAGAGGGTACGCTAGATCAAAATTATTAGATTTATTTTTTCATGAAATAGGCCCTTTTGTGTCCAAGTCTGGAGATTTTATGATTTGAGATGACTGGTAATAGTGAATATATTTAGAAGAGTATCATAATTTGGTTATTCTACCTCATATATTATAGAGACTATCTGGAGCATGACATGGAAATTTTGGTTGCTTAAGCAATCACGACCTATGGGGTCTTGATAATTCTGTGAAACCAGAATGCATAAATACATATTTTAATGTTTGTATGCATTCAGCAAAGCCAATTAAAAGTATTTGTATTGGCATGTAAACTCTTTAAAGATAGTGTGAAATAATTAACTATGAATAGATTATATCTTAACAATGAAATAAATTAGTCTAAGGAAATATTAAGATTCTCGAGTATAGTACATGTTGTGACAAAGCACCTCCACAGGACTATCCCTTTGAATTTCCTAAATTCATCGTTAAATATATATTCAATATTTTGTGTTTCACTCCACTTAAAGAGTCTTCTGATTTTTGAGACCCTAAATAACTCAAAGAGCTAAGCGTGCTGGATTCTATTTACATTTTATAAATACCTATTAAATAATCTCATACGTTGTAATTTACTTTTATAAATATATTAAAACTTCCTTAAGCTGCCTTGTTGACTTGTGACATATTGCAGAATAATATGCATAAAAAAATCACATGCTGAAAATGAGACATTTTCTTCCTATCTTTGTACATGAAACACCCTAGAAAAAGGATTTTTCTTTGACGTATCAGTATTTTAAACAACACCCTGTGAATGTTACACATGCTTAAAAATTGTGAGGACAAAACTATTTGTGTAAAATATTTAGTAGTAATTACTATCTGCACAAGCCTTGCCTCTTCCTATCTATTCTGAATAAGAATGAGTATTCAAAACGACACAAAATCCTACCCACACCATTTCCATGACAACGAACCCAAACATAAAACAAATAATAATTTCAAGTGTCAACTAAATGGTAAATTTTCCAGTGGTATATTATTGAGTAATATAGAAAAATGGGCTTCACTGTCCATTTTCATGCCTGATGGTCCTGTACCATTTAATCACAATAAGGCTTTGCATTAGTACTTAAGAATTTCACACAACTTGTCACCTCAACAAACCTTGATGATCAGGGAACATATTCTACTTTCATAATTATCAAGTCAGACATGTCTCCTTCTTGTTAGCACTTTCTTCACTGTTATGTACATTATAGATACCAAATAAATGACTGAATGAAGGAAAATCAGAGTTCAAGACTATGTCATTTCTTTCCGACACATTCACTTCAAAATTAGTTTCTGAAGCTTCCAGACCTTGTATCAGTCAAACCTTTGTCCTTCTCTAGGCATAGGACAAGGTTTATACTAGAAAGATGCTTTTGTATTTATACCAAAGTGAAAGCATAGAATTAATAAAAATGGCAATGAATTTTTTTAAAATGACTGAATATTTGAAATATGATTTAAAGAGCTTGATGATTTTATATGGTGACGTTCTTTTATTCTTAAAGAGTGAGTAATATAAAAATCCTATACCATGAAAAATGAGATGAATTTTACCAAGGAAAATAGTCCCTAAATAACATTAAAAAGTTAGGGAGAAATGGTAATGTTGGAGGCTAGTGAAAATAAAAATCGTGATAGATGATATATTATCTTTATTGATTTAAGAGAAAAGTAAATCAGTGCATTGAGCTCTAAATGAGATATACTTAGCTTGAATTAGAATTTTACATCTAGTGAGTGGCCTTGAACCTGATGTTAACGGTAGGTTTCTAGGTTATTACACTTGTTTAGATATCCTTTGAGCTGCTATCTGTCTCCTATTATGTAGGTAATAATTACATAATTAATTAATGGGGAAATAGATTTTTCTTCAAAATGGCTCTCATTCTCTCTTATACCATAATGATATCTATTATCATAATTTAGTTCACTAAGTTGTGCCATTTTTATCGTAAAACAATTTATCCACCACAAACTCCAACTCCAGTGCAGGGTACATATCCAGAGAAGTAAGTAAATACTTAATTGGAGTGTTCTGCAATTTAAAGAACACTTTTCTTTAAAATAGATCAAAGATATAGTCACAAGCTAATGTAGACAAATGGATAATAGTGGATTTGTCCCTTCTCATATATAACATACTCTGAGACCTCTCTTCTCTTCACCAATTCACACCTAATTGCGTCGTCACAGGTCACAAACTCTAATGCCCAGGTTTTTATAGAGCCTTTGCAGATGAGTAGGAGAAATGGGTTTCAGAAAATGCGTAATACATTTCTGCCGGTACACATAAAAAATAAAGAAACGGAAAAAGCATATGCTGTAAATGTGTGCACTCGTTCTAGATGTGACAATTAGAGCCAGGTGAAATAGAATAAAGTCCAAAAAACTAGTCATTTCTAATGTTCTCACTGTTAAGTCATCTGATGTCAACGTACTTTCATCCGTCTGGAAAGCCCAGCTGAGCATAACAGCTCAAGGCACCATCCACAAACCCACGAATAAACATACCCCGTACAACAAAGCCTTATATTCACCAGAGCATGTTCATTCCCTGATCTTTGTTTTCAAGGCTTTCGGTTTGCTAACCATTGTGAGGAAAACGACGTTCTGTAGATGGCTCCATCCTCTGCCTTGCGTTCCAGAGAACACCTTTCTAACATGCCGTCTAAAGCAACAACTCCTGCCTCAGTTTAAGATTGGATTAACCTCATACCCACTTTCGTAGCAACAGAAAGAATCCAGACACGAATGAGATACTGGTTCTCACTGGTTTTTGCTCATATCGTCCTCATTTTCTGTGACATGGTACCACGTGGTTCTGTGAGCACCGGGCTCACCAGCTAGTCTTTGCCAAATTAAACAAAGGGAATAAATATTTCAGGAAGATGAAAAAGGAGAAGGGGAATAAACAAACAAGCAAACGAAACCCCCTTTGACCTGACGTTATGGAAAAAATAAAAAAAGACACTAAGATGAAAAATAAATAGTGTCATGGTTTACATGTGGGATTTGGATGGAATCTAAGGCTGTGTTTTAATTCAAAACTCACCATCTCAAAACCACTTCTTTTCATCCGCCTGCAGGACTTGAGGTAAGTACGTATACGTTTTCTGGCACGCTCTTGATACTCAGGGAATTGTCGCCTGCATGAGTCAATGATAGCCTGGATCTTTTCTTTGGGCTGCTTAGAGATTGGGACCATTCGGTCCAAGTTTTCATCTACAAACAGCCTGACAAACATCTGTTGGCAAGAGGGAGACAGAGGAGAAGGGTTTGGAGGGCTGCTCTCTTCTCTTCCTAGCTTCCTGTCTTGATTTACCGATAGGAAAATACTCTTTTCTGGTTTATGCACTGGAGAAACTTTGCAATGGAAAGCCAGAAAATTTAAGCAAACACTCTTTCAAGACTTTCTCAATGGTTGGATTAAAAAATAGAGAGAGAAGTAGAGAGAGAGAGGCAGACAGACAGACACACAGACAGAAAAGAATAGACTATCGTGTAGAAAAAACTCAGGAAATAACAGTAGACCGTGACAATTGAGCACCCCATTAAATTCTCCACTAATGGTAAATGCGACTGTTACATTGCTACGCTGCACAGTGGACTAATCCCTGAAAACAAACAATCGACTCTCTTGTCATGCATAATTAGATAAGCTAGGAAAGCAAATGAAATAACAGGTGACAGGCGTACTCTTCCGAGGACTAAGCTGAGGCCCCCTCCATCCACTAGGTAAACATGCATACTCACACAACACAATTCCAGTTCCCAGCTCACATTTGGCTTTAAAATTCTAAACAAAACACAGCAATTCTGGTGTCTGGTTGGCAAAGAGTGTTTCATGTACTTTTTAAATCCTTCTGTAAATTAAACAAACATGTCTCTAAAATATCCACATTTACCAACAAGCAACAACATGAAAGTGAAGTGGTAAAAATTAAACCACACTTGGAGGGTGGCAAGACTCACATTAAAAGCTTTCAGCCGCTCGGCTTCCACGCCGTCTGTCTCGTTCACTTTCTCGGAATCGTCATGGTCATCGTGGTCATCTTCATCCTCATCTGCCCTGTTTAACGACAGATCCTCTGCGCCTCGGTCTACGCTCTCATTTTTGCCAGAGTCATAGCTTGAGTAACTGTGTGCAGGAGACTGAAAAGAGAGGGTGAAACGGCTGCTTTGAAATTCATCTCCCGATCTGACACATCATACGTTTTGTTTCTCATTTCAACTATGTCTCAAAGATCTTGCTTACGAAGAGGCACCTCTAGAGCTGAGGTGATTGACATTTACATCAAAATTAATACAAATTAAATTAGAAAATCAGTTCCTGGGTGACCTTAGTCACACTGGAAGTGCCCAGTAGCTACATGCAAAATTTCTATTACCATATGGAGCTCTTCCAGAGCAATTCCTATTTGCACTCAAAGTCTATATTCAAAATACAAAAGGAACCTGTAATCAACTTGGAGAGAGCATCACTGAATCACATTTTCTTAGAAACAGATATAACCTCAGAGTTTGGCATTAGCTTTTGTAAAACATGTATGGAAATTAAGCTATGCATGTCTAATTAACTTGCCCAATAAGGACTATTTGAGATCAGGGCTATTAGTTATAAGTCATTATACTTTGAAATAAATATGTAAGTTGTCTGTGAGTCTTCGGGTGGCTTTTGATTTTGCTTTAGAAGAAAGGGAACCAGATTTCTTCCCAACTATCTGTTAAGTTTAGTGCTTCTGTATTCTAACCCTACACAAAGATTGCAACGTAGCACAAAATATCTGAAAACTGAAAAATATTTAACATATAAATGGCTGATGGTTGCCTTAGAAGTGCAGTTGTCTTAATCCGATAATGTATATCAATGTGCACATGGGGCCAGTGGCTGATAAAGTAAACTGGCTTTTGATTGTTTTTCATTTTGGAATTACACACATTCAAAATATTTCTTTTTAGGACCTTCGAGGCTAATTCCAGAGTTAATTTGGAAGAACTGGCCTGGGAATAAAGGAAATTCAAATGCATGGTGTGAGAAGGAGCTTGATTCAGCTGTGGGTAGAATAATAATAAACTATTTTATATAAGCCCATCACACTGAGCAATAATCATCTAAGCATCTTTTAGGTACCTTTGAAAGATATTAAGATGTAATAGAATTTAAAAAGGAATCTTCTATACCCATTTTTATTTAATAACATAAAATATATTTTCTGGTACATTAAATGTCATAAAACAAATAATGAAGAAATTAAGTGAGAGACGTAGAGAAGAAATTAGCACCTAGAACCACCAAGCGTTTGGTCTATTGGTTCCCTTAATCTTCACTGCAACCTGGTGAAATGATAGTATCTTCCAGATTCTAGGGATAAGGAAACAGCTTCAGAAAGCCTAAAAACTTCTCCTATTCTAGAGAAAGCTACAACCACTAATTGAACCTAAGTTTGCATGAAGTTAAGAGTGGTGGAAGAAGGTTTTCTCTTTATTAGACTACTGCTTTTTGTTGTAAAGATATATCTACATGTTTGTGTATAACTAAAAGAAGAATATAAAATATTTGTTGGTTTATGCACACATCAATAGGAAAACAAAACATTTTACAAGTGATGTCACCTGAACTATTTTCCACCTAAAGAAATTGGATACATTATTTCCATTTTCTTATACAATAATAAATGGCAATTTATAAATATTGAGTAAGAAATGTTATCACTTGCCATAAAATATTCACAGATGATGTATTTAAATAATTTGTTATTGCTTCATACACTTTTACTTGTTTCAGTTGAACAAAGCAGAGGAAAGACAGACTAATATCATCCAATGAAGATGACTAAGTTTTCTTAAACACAAAACATCTTTTGAAGAAAACAGTGAGTATATCTCTTTTTTCAACTTTAGGAATAAACATATTTTGGAATAAACATACTTGTGAGGAATAAAATATATTTAAGAGAACAAACTCTAATTGAACAAGAATAATGAACTGCTTGTGAGGTAAATATGGAGAATAGCAATTTCTAGAAACTCCTGCTTCAAAACCAAATCTATCTCAACATCAATCTTTTCTTCTTTCAACAAAACCTTATTGAGTAAAACGATAGCTTAGGTACTATACACTAAGTTACTGTGCCACAGGCATATTCATTTAACAATTACTTTTTGAGCACCCATTATGTCTTAGACATTTTTCTAAGCCTTTTACATATAACATTTTATTTACAAAAAACTAGTTAAGCAATTTCACTTGCTAAGGATGAAATCAGGATTTGAAATCATGCAATTTGGTCATGATCTATGATCTTAACTCTTATCTCTACTGTTTCAATAGAACTACGATGTGTGAGGCTATTGTAATATCCACAGGAATCAATTCCTAAGACTCTGTATTTCTGAACAGCAACTTTTAGAATAAAAATACCTCTACAATGAGACTTACTAAATTCACGTCATCATTTAACATCTAACTATGAATTACCCTGAACAAATCTAAATGAAAAGCATATATTTTGCATGGGTTGGATACTATTTGATAATGTTTAATGTTCATAAAGTGTTAAAATTTACATGGATCTTTAAGCTCCTTGTAACTGAACTTCACAGCAGGCCTAATATTAACATATCTATATTTTTAATGATTTAAAATATATAATAATACGATAATAAAATGATGTTAATATCTGATGGTAAATTTTATGCATCAGTTTGGCTAGATAACAGGGTTTTCAGACAGGTGGCTAAACATTATTTCTGGGTGTATTTCTGTGAATGTTTCTGGATGAGATTATCATTTGAATGGGTGGACACACTAGGGCAGTTCCCTCTCCCAGGGTAGGTGAGCACCATTCAATCCTTGGGGACTGAATAGAACAAATGTTAAAGGAAGGAAAAATGTGCCCATTCTACTGACTGCTCAGTTGGGACACATTGAGACTTACACTACCAGTGACTCCCCAGATTTGCAGGCCTTCAAACTGGGACTTAACTGCACCCCTGGGTCCCTGGATATTCAGCTTTTAGATGGCAGATTATGGGGCTTTTCAATCTCCATAATTGTATGAACCAATTCCTCCTAATAAATAAACATACACATATGATCTATTTTATAAATACTTTAAGGTTCAGTAAATTTAACTTGATTGAGCTAACCTCAGACAGTGAGGAAAGCGGCCGAGAAGCAGTTAAGTAGAGGCCATCCCTCCATCACTGGGGGGCAAAGCTACACAGGACTTCACAGAAAGAGACCATGAGAGTTAGCAGAAAGAAGAAGAATGTCGGCTTTCGGAATCTGAATCAATTATAAAAGTAGAAAGACAAGTGTACAGAAGAAAATGAATGCCAATCAAAGTAATTTTCACAAACACAAATAATTGTGTCCAAGACTAACCATGGCCCTGCTGTCGTATGTCCTGTGTTTTTGTTAGCCCAGCACTTTTTCCTTTCAGAAACAGCCCATGCCTAGATATTTTATTTTCTTTGTTGTTACTATGAAAGGTATTATATCTTTGATTTGATTCTTGGCTTGGCTGCTGCTGGTGTACATGAAACTTACAAATTTATGTACATTTATTTGGTATCCTTAGACTTTGTTGAATTTGTTTGTCAATTCCAGGAGTCTCTAAGTTGAGTCTTTAAGGTTTTATAGATTGTTATTGTCAGCAACAAGTAGTAGTGTGACCTCTTCCTTCTCTGTTTTCACTCTCTTTATTTTCTTCTCTTCTCCAACTCCTCTAGCTAAGACTTTCAGCACTATGTTGAATAGAAGTGAAGATAGTGAGCGATCTTGTCTGATTCTAGTTCTAAGCAGGAATGCTTTGAATTTTTCCCCATTCAGTAATGTTAGCTGTGGGTTTGTCATGTATGGCCTTTATAATTTTGAGGTAAGTCTCATCTCTGCCTATTTTGTTAAGCATTATTATCATAAAAGTGTGCTACATTTTGTCAAATGCTTTTTCTGCATCTATTGAAAGGATCTATAGGGTCCTTGCTTTTGTGTATTTCTACTGTGGATTACATTTGTAAATCTGCATGTTTAACCATCCTTACATCTCTGGGATGAAGTCCATTTGGTTGTGATAAATTATTTTTTTTTATTTGCAGCTGAATTTAGCTTAAGATTTTATTGAGAATTATTTTTCCATCTATATTCATAAATAAGATTGGTCTATAGTTTTCTTTTTTAGATGTGCCCTTTTCAGCTTTGATATCAAGGTAATATTGGCTTCATAGAACGTACTGGAGAGGATTCCCTCCTCCTCAATGTTATGGAATAATTTCTGCAGGACAGATGCAAGTTCTTTGTAGGTTTGATAAAATTCAGGTGTATATCTTTTGGGTCCAGGACTTTTGACGGTATATACCCAAAGGGGGGAAAAATCATTTTATAAAAAGGACACCTGCAGTTGGATGTTTATAGCAGCACAATTCACAATGGAAACAACCCAGGGTCCACCAATACATGAACGGACTAATAAGATGTGGTGCATGCATATTATATAGTATTACTCAGCCATAAAAAAAAAAAAAATGGTGTTCTGGTATCTTTTGTGACTACCTAGATGCCACTGGAAGCCATTCTTCTAAATGAAACTTCATAGGAATAGAGAAAGAAACACATGTACAAAATACCAGGTAGGAATTGATCAGTCACATCTAAGTGCATATATTTAAGTAAATCTCAATGAAAATTAAACTGGGAGAGGGGTGCAGAGGGTACGGATAGATCCACACCTCTTTGGTACAGTGCATACTGTCCTAGTGGAGAGCATGATTTAACCTTGATTCAACTTGTACAAAAACAAAATATGTAAACAAAACATGTGTATCCCTCAATAATAAAAAAAAGGAAAAACAAACACCCCCCACCAATTTTCTAGGCATCAACCTTCTCTACTCCCAGCGTGCATGTTTCGGCTGAGACTGAAACCAAGGTGAATCCAGCAGAGTGAAGCATTATTTGTGCATCTAGATCCAACTATTTCTGAATGTAATCCCTTCAGGTGAGGAACGTCATACATCCCTACCTACCTAATACTTTTATTTTTTGCTTAAATTTGAGTTTCAGTCACCTGTGATCTTATTTGGTGTGGCATAGAAATCAGTTATTTCAAGGCCAGATGAGCAGTGCAGACTTCACACAGGATAATTCAAAT